ACGCACATCCGAAGTAACTTTTTAATGTCCGTAAAAATCCCTATACTGTCGACATCCCATCCATTTTTCTAAACACTATATCCCACCCAATGTTGAGCCCTTCCCTTTGAACCTAACCCTCTTCCTATTGGCCCCCAGCCAAGAATATGCGGTTCTGGGCTATCATTTCTGGCGCCACTCCAGTCTTATACAGCCTGCCCTTATCAAAGCGCTCTAAGCTCGCTCCAAGTACCGCTCTAGCGCTAAATTTTTTACCAAGGATTTTTTTGCTTGAACTGGCGCGTCATAGTTCGCGACTCCGGAGATTAGGATAGTACGCGACAATGAAAAACATATGTATTGACGGGGAGATTAGGATAGTAGTAGAGTAGGAGATTGCGCTGACAAGATTAGATACGTATCGATTGAAATCGCTGGAGAGTAGTAGATTGCGATATTACGATAGTAGGATAGTAGTAGAGTAGGAGATTAGGATAGTAGTAGATTAGGATAGTGCGCTGACAAGATTAGATATGTATTATTATGATTGCCGACATTCATTATATTAATATAAGCGTGTTCCCGCCTTCGTCCGATATTCGATCGAGCGCCAGAAAACGCCTAATGTACCATTTTTTAGCTATTCCAATTGATACCTACCTAATCATGCCAGCGCAATATGTGTATTACTCGGGGTGTCCCCCAACAGGCCCACCGCGCGGCGAAGCAAGAGACGCAGATGCGGCAAAGAGACGAGTTGCAGCGCGTGCTGTGCGATATGAGACGTAGTATGGTACACTCTCTTTAACCTGACGCCTAACCGCTACAGTATGCGCTGCGACTCGTCCCTTTGCCGCGTCTGCGTCTCTTGCTTCGCCGCGCGGTGGGCCTGTTGGGGGACACCCTTTACTCCTACCAATGCTGATATAGGTGCCGGCCTACTATCCTAATCTCCCAAATGCGCGAGCTATGAACGCACCTCAGCCCATTATTTTGATCGTTGTACTTAGTGACGCAAAGCAGAACGGCTGTCCCCTGCCGTCGCCAAAGTTAGAGTTACCTGCTTAGCGCCACTTCGTAGCGATACAGGTCCCTACTCGCTCCCTTAGGGAGCTGCCGTCAGTCCTTTTCTAGTACGAATCCCTACCTCCCCACATCTAATTTATCCAACACGCTCCTTTAGAAAATTTTGCTTGGGTCTGCGTAAACTACCATAGCATATTTCAAGTCGCACTCCAAGGGGACTATGATTTCAAGAAGAAATCGAATGTGCGCGTATCTATCTGGGAAAGAGCGTCTTGACCCCCAGATATCTGGACTCATTTCAAAGCTATTCGACATCTCGTTTTTGGCTACTGAACGTACAAATCTGTAATATCTGACTTACCTACCCATTCGACTGAGAAACTGAATAACGAAATCGAATCAAGCAGATGCGGTGCAGGGAATCACTGAAAGTTATACGACGTTCAACAGGATTTCCCTGAAGTAAAAATCAGCTTCATTTTTTGGAACGTTGAGGTCCTCTGCGCATTGTATCATCTTTTTTATCACCTTTCCCTTGATAGCGGGTTATGCATAGAAAAGAGTGTGTAAAAACGAAAAAAGTAAATTGTGAGATAAATTGATGACCTTAAAGAATTTAAGTCGTTTCTTCATGTCACTTGACTGCGCTATTTGCATGAATTTGAGCACGTAGTCGATTTTTTCGGACGGCACAAGACTGTTTATCATCCAGCACAGTGTCGAAATGCTGCAATTCTGGTAGTTTTGGGAAATATTTCCATTGAATTTCAACATTGAAGTCGCAATGAATCAAGAGGGTTACGTTGTAATGATGACCAACAGCAGATACCAGCACCATAGAAAAGCAAATACTTTCTCGTTGATAATGTTTATGAGCAGTGCACATTGGACAGTATACCTGAAAGTAAAGATCATGACCTTGAAAAAGGATTCCACGATAAGATCGAATGTCAAAAAAGGGACACTACCTTAACGGGAGGACAGGCGGGCCCCTTAAACAAGGGAGGTCTTTCAGGGTGTGGACCGTTTCAAAAGGGTTCTTCGTATGCTGTAGGAGCTCTCATGTGGACTCAAAAATAAGAATAATTTTCGCTGAGCTTCCCGGAAGACTAAAAAAGGATCGAAACAACTTCGTTGGTGTGGGTCGTTTTTACAGACTAGAGCTGATATAGTGTGGAAAGCAGATCTGAAATCTGCAGGATAATAAGTTCTCGCGTTCTGGGAATGAACATGATATCCTCTTACTGGCTTAGGCGATTGTTGAGGAAGTCTTGGAAGTCCTACCCTGAGATGCAGAATTTGTCATTAATTTTGTTCATTACGATTTTGTCATACGGAAGGTAAACCTTGGACCATTTCTTCACCCCTTTTTAGCCTTCCCGGGGCTGAAAATCTGCGAAATCGACCTTGGTACTGTGACCACGAATGAGTTCCTAAGAAATGCAAAAAACCATTTTGAAAAAGCGCTCCACAATCTGAAGGACATCCCTTGTAAGATTGCGGCCCAACACGCAATTCGAGGTGAAGGATATGCCCCGGCGATCTAGCATGGCCGTCCCGCGCCGCTATCGACGCGGCACGCCCACCGACTGGCTAACCACTCGCCGCAGGTCTCTAGCCGTTTAGCAGAGAGAGCGTTAGCGTTGAAGAGGGCAGCACCGATGAGAGTCGCATCAATGCGGAAATCAACGGGCAAGGAAGGGGTCCCATTTCTCGGGTTCTGGGCCGTTTTTCTTCTTCCCCGTAGCACTAATCACCTCTACCTTAATTATATTGGGCTGCCTTTTAATCGTAAACTCTACCTTCGATGAAGCTGAGTAATTTTAAACGTGAGTTCAGAAACTGAGCCGAAAGAACAGAAACAATGATGCAAAAATCGAGTCATTCATTGGAAAATTTCTCACCTATTGAGATTTGCCAGATATCTCACTTCAAAGTCGCATAAGGTGACACGAGGAAAATGACCGGATTCTGTCCACGGTTTACCATTCATTAGATCTTGTAGGACCTGAGCGAACCATTTTTCAAAAATATTGAGCAGCAGTAGAAAAATAAGGCTGACCTGGAATCCAAAAAATAGATACTCGTCGGATTTGAGGCACGCATTTAGAATCATAAATTGGACAACAATGTTGAGCGTATAGAAGAGTTTTGTGAATAGATAGAGCGTTGAGACGTAGTGGCCGGCAAGAAGCCTGAAAACTGGTTTACAGAATCTCATATTCTGGTTGTTAAGGGAAGCACAGGCAGGGATAGCCGAGTGGTTAAGAGGTTAGACTCATGTCTGCACCTCTGAAAAACCGCGAGTTCGATCCCTGCCGAGGCTAACCATGCCTTGCAAAAATTGCAAAAATGGTTCTAGTACCAGCGTCAGGCCGGCTGATGAACACCCCAGTCACACCAACCATGTCTAAAAGTCGTA